ATGGGGACTGCTCCGGCGGGGGCAGCAGGCCCGAGGATTGATTCCTTATTCTTGATTCCGCGCAGGTAAGTTGGGTTAATTGTAATTCAGTTTGTTGATTATTCATGACGGTAATCGTGGGTCTTCGGCCCGGATAGGCCGCTACGTGATTTGTTGTGATTTGTGAACTGAGATTTAAATTAAACTTATGTTATTGGTGAATATTGTGGATTACGAATAATATATGAGAAATAGGCCACCAAGTCTAATTAGGCGGACCTGAATTGGATTGACTGATTGAATCACCAATAGGATATGGTTAGGAAATTGGCCATTGCGGGGCGTCGTCGCACCCCCGGTGGTCTTGGGTTAAAAACGTACGTACGGAAGTTCGCGACCTGTCCTGGCATCGTAGGGACAGGGGCTTCAACCCGCCCAAAGTGAATCTCCTTTGGGTTTCTGAGCTGGCCCTTTTATAGCATCGCTTGGGGTGCCATGACTCAAAGTAGTTGATGTCGAATAAAATAAGGACATGATGTTCAAATGAAAGGTGTTAATATAAATATGTTTCTTTAAGCTATTTTTTTTCCTCCGTGATCACATGCTGTTGTGGATTGTATGTTAATGTGGTGCTATTCTGTGAGTTAATGCTTGCTTAGGTATATTTTCACTCAGTGTTTCGCTAAGTGTGTAGTCGTTGTTGTTTGACTGCACGCAGGTAGGAACACGGAATTTGATGGGCAACCCGGAGGGCAGTGAATTAAACTACATTATTTAGTAACGACACGGAGTGTGTAAACACGTTGTTGTTTACTTTAGTAATTAAACTACATTATTTTATTTGCTTATATGGATTGCTCGACGTTACTTTGGTTTAATTATACTTCCGCGACTTTTGGTTTAACTTTAAACTCTCACGGATGAATTTATAATTTATTCAGTTGGTTATTTTTTAAAAAAAAAAATTATGCATGCGAATACCAATTTAGTAACAACCCGGTTCGCTAACCCGTTTGTTCGGGTTACGCGGGTTGGGGTGTTACATACCAGATGCATTCATAAATACAAATAAAGTGACAAAGTCACATATACCAGCATCTAATGCACCTGCTCGTATTGAAGTAATCCTAGAATCGATTACCATACAAAGAAAGCGTGGGAGACCAATCGGTTCCAAAGATAAGAACCCGCGAAATCGAAAAGAACAAAATTGTGCAGTTGGTGCAACCACAGAGAAGATAATGAAAGATACCCATGTGGAGGTAAATATCCCAAAAGAGACAAATACATTTCTAGAAGAAAATGATATTCCTGAAGAAAGACCGGTACCAAATGAAAATGAGATCTCTATTAATTATGTACAAGATAGTACAATATGGAACCGGCATGAAACACGTGTTGATGAGATTTTTGCATATGCTATAGCAATGGATGTACTAAATAAGAATGATTATGTCCCTAAAACTATAGAAGAGTGCATGCACAGGAATTATTGGCCTAAATGGAAAGAGGCTGTGAACGCCGAAATGTTTTCGGACCTGTAGTCCGAACACCCATAGACGTCAAACCAGTGGGTTATAAATGGGTGTTTGCAATAAAAAGAAATGCAAAGAATGAGATTATTTGATATAAGGCATGACTTGTAGGACAAGGGTTTTCGCAAATCCCAGGAGTTGATTATGAGGAAACGTACTCCTCTGTAGTGGATGCAATAACCCTTAGATTCTTAATCGGCCTCACAATCTCAGAAAGACTTCAGATGAAACTTATGGATGTTGTCACAGCATATTTATATGGGACACTTGAGAATAACATCCATATGAAAATCCCTAAAGAATTCAAATTGCTAGAAGCATTGAAATCAGTACCTCGAGACATGTGTGTTATAAACCTCAAAAGATCTTTATATGGTCTGAAGCAATCTGGTCGTATGTGTTTTCATAAGAAGATCACTCACTAAATTCACTATTGTAGGAGTTTATGTTGATGATATAAACATAATTGGATCTCTTGAAGAGATAGAAAAAACTATCGAGCTCTTGAAGAGAGAATTTGAGATCAAAGACCTTGGCACAACAAAATTATGTCTTGGTTTGCAATTCGAACATTTGCACAATGTCATATTCGTCCATTAGTCAAACTACATCTAGAAGATGTTAATATGTTTTAATATGGAAAAGGCACATCAGTTGAGCATACCCATGGTAGTCCGATCCTTAGATATACATAAAGATCCTTATCGCCCCCAAGAAGAGGGTGAAGAAGTAAATGTTCCAGAAGTACCATATTTAAGCGTGATCGGTGCACTCATGTATCTTGGAAATAATACAAGGCCTGATATTGCATTCTCAGTAAATCTATTAGCAAGATTCAGTTCAAACCCAACACGTAGACATTGGAATGGGATAAAGAAAGTATTTCGATGTATTTGTGGGACACAAGACTTAGGCCTCTTTCACAAGAAAGATGAAAAGTCCCAACTTGTAGGGTATGCTGATGATGGGTATCTATCAGAGCCACACAATGCACATTCTCAAAGAGGTTGTGTGTTCACATACGGTGGTTCAGCAATTTCTTAGAACTCAACAAAGCAAACTCTAACAGCAACATCATCAAATCATGTTGAATTGGTAGCACTTTATGAAGCTGGTCGAGAGTGCATTTAGTTGAGATCGATGATTGATCATATACAAGGAGCATGCGGTTTGGAAGAAATCAAGAAGAACCCTACAATTATATATGAAGACAATGTAGCATGCATAGATCAGATCAATGAAGGCTACATCAAAGGAGACAGAACAAAGCACATCTCACCAAAGTTTTTCTCAACACCAGATCTGCACAAAGAAGGAGAGATCAATGTTCTTGAAGTTAAATCAAGCGAAAATTTGGCAGACTTATTCACCAAATCTCTGCCTAGGCACAATTTCGAGCAACTCATAAAAAAGATTGGACTTCACAGGCTGAAAGAGAAAAATTAGTTTGGAGGGGAGTATAATTTTATTTTGAGGGAAAACATCATACACGTTGTACTCTTTTTCCCTTAACTAAGTTTTATCTCATTGGTTTTTCTTAGTCAGGTTTTTAATAAGGCAGCACAACTGATCCTGCAGTATCAATTAATATAGGTCCTGACGAACATATCCAACATTATCTAGTAGCATAATGTTGTTAGTGTATAATGAACGATGATATATTTGATGTGGAGTGTTAAATATGACAGATATATTACTCATATTATTTAGGATATTTGTTTTCTTGTTTACCTAGACTTTACTCCTTCCTTGTATGTATAAATACCCCCACTTATGATGAATAAAGTACTCAGTTTACAACAATTATTTTATCATAAAATTAAATCTTTATATTTATTTATTGAATTGTAATGTCTGTTTTACTCACCACGCTTTACATGTAGATCCAAATTTAACAAAACATATACTGTTGGTAACCATTTTACAAGATCTACCCAAAAATCTAATTTTTATTTAAAATAGAAAACATTAAAAATAATTCATATTTTTGAGTAAATAAATATTATTTTTTTATTAAAATATTGGCTAACTACTAAGCCGGTTTTTGGGTCGTTACAAGAATCGAGTAGATCGACGGCTCCTTCTCCCAGCATTTTGCTTCCAGACCTTAATCGACAATAGATAGGATCAATTGTTTTTTGGATAAATGGAGACGACACATGTTAAGTTGAAAGACAAAATAATAAAGAGGGAGAAAACTTCCCCTCTTTTTTTATTTTCAATTAGAGATGAAAATGTTACCCTATTTTCATTTTTTTATTTTTGTATACTTAGGGGGGGGTGTTGGATATATGAGCCCTAGAGGCCAATGTATGAGAGTATCTGAATATTTATCAAGAATAAAAGGTTCTAAAGATTTTTTTAAATCTCGTGTATCTAAACATGGCTTTAGTATATAGACTTAGTGCTCTGGTAGCATAGATTAGAACTACAATGTTCTGATTATGAGGCTGTTACATTAATAGAGGCTATGTCTTAAATGTCCTTAGTCGAATATTATGATAATATGGACGTCATAAGATACTAAGACTAATACGTATGAGGCTATGGATATTGTGATATCTTAATCTATACGTAGGTACATATATGGGATATGGTACTGGATTGACCCACTGCACCATGAGAATACTACATGGGTATTATTTAATGTGTTAGTAGTATTCTCATTCAAACATTGGTATAACTATCCTTAGACTTGAGGCCATTATGATCTTTAATATGTTGGCCTATATGCTTTAATTCATATCTAATGCCATCTGAAATACTGGTGGACGTACAGTTATGTTTTGGGTATATACTTAAGAGTATGTAAAGGCAGGAATGACGTAGAAAGAATGTATCCCTTCCATTGTGATGAAGTGTAATGTCTTAGGGCCCACTAATTAATATAACTTGGGAAGTATATGGCCATACCCAGATAAATTAATATATGTAATATTAATGTTATTTGAATCCCACAAGTCAATCTAAGAATCAGTGAACCAATGATTTAACTCTAACAAGGTTACACTTCTCATACCTTGTGTTAAATCTAGACATAAGAGATAAAAGGATAATATAAGAGTTATACAAATGAAATGTGTCGTGGGAGGTATTGTTGCAATGAACTTTATGTTTATAACATGGGTAGCGATAATGTGTTGCTAGATGCCGCTAATCGTTTATAGTTTTAATTGTGATTAATACTATTTCCATCGTTATGAATACCTAGAAGGGTCACACAAATAAAACAATTGAACGGGGTAGAAAACTAAATGGAATAATGTAAAATAATATGGGACATGTGACGTTCACATGAAATAAATATGTTGACATTTTAATTATGTGATACTTAAGTTTGTCAAATATTATGTGTGAAATTATATATATATATATATATATATATATATATAAAATTACCGAAATATTAAATATATATTTAATATTTATTTTCTCTTAATTATATGATAATTAAAGTTGATAAAATAAATTGTTACATTTTATTTACACTTGGCCGAAAATAAAGACTTGGAAAGATTAAGGAGTTTTTGTTGACACACAACTCTACTTCCACAATATTAGAAGATATGATCTCATTTAAAGATGATGGTTGACATGCCATTTTCCATTCCTTCTACAACCTTGGCCAAAAATCATAAAGAAAAAGGGAACAATATATTTGATATTTTTCTACATCATTCCCAATAATTTTCTATATTCAAGTAATATTCTAGGAAGAATTTACTAGCATAAATTCTTCTTGAAACACTGTTCGTTGTTCGTGTGGACGCGCTAGAGGTTGGATTTGTTTGTGACTGGTTCGTTGCACCAATCCCTTCACCTGCACCATCTGATCTGTTTTCTACGTGAAAAAGTATTCTTCTCAACAATAGTTTATAGTTTTCGTAAGACAATCCTGGATGGTAATGACGTTTGGATATAAAAAAATTTGTTTTCCGCTGTGCTATCCAAGCGTAGTTTCCCTACAGTAGTATCGGAGTCCGCTTATGAAATTATATATTTTGTAGATTTATTATGGTAAAGGTTTTCAGTAATTGATAAATTTAATCCAGATATGTACAAATTTTTAAAACCATCCAAACTAATGTAAAGTGTCAAAATATTATTTTTTACTTTATATAATTCGAAAATATATATTTTGGAATTAATTTTGGATTATATTTCTATTATTTTATTAAGTGTAGTTTTGTAGTTTAATTGGTTAAAATACAAAATAAATAATTAATAAATTAGAAAAATAATTTTAACTAGTCTGGAGTTTTAAAATATGATTTTAAGGATTCTAGAAACATAAAAAAAAGTTTTTGAAATTAAATTCCTTATTTTGAGTATTGATTTTATTTTGTAGTTAATTTTATTAATCAAAAAATAAATACAAGATAAATATGGAAAAATAATTTTAATTATTCTGGAATTTCAAAATATGATTTTAAGATTTCTGGAAAATTTAATAAATATTTGGATTTTATTTTCTATTTTTCGGATTTAGTTAAATCTAATTCTTAATTAATACTTATTAACTAGAATTAAAATTTAAAGTCCGAATAAATTTTTTTTATAGATTTGGAAATATTATATCCAGAGAGTATAAAATTATTTGGGAATACATCCCGAAATTAAAATAATTATTTTGTATTTATTAATAATCCAATTTCAGTAATCTTAGAATTACCGTGTTAATTATTACTTAAATATAAATATAATATTTTATTTTCTTGAAAGTTATTATATTAGAAAGTAAATTAGTAGATTTCTGAAATATAGATATTTGGAAATTATGATTTAGGAAAATAATTTATTGAAATTATTTTTAGTTTCCTTGTATAATAATTGATATATTTAAGAAAATAAAACATACCAAGATGAGAATTTGTTTTCCATGCTCTAGTAGGAGACAACTAGTACATCACCCGTGCGATGCACGAAAAGAAAAAGCTTATCATAATTGTGAAAATACATGAAAATTTTGTAATTGGATATTATTTAATAAATAGTAGATATGTTCATCTTTCGCTTATATATATTTTATTATTCATTCATTTTAAATAGACCTACTAACATAAAGAGTGAGTTTTAAATTATAACATATTCAATACATAATATTCAAAAGAAGTAATGTAAACTGTGTCTGTTGACATCAATCATATAGATTCTCAATAACCTCCTTATAAACTACATTCATTGTAGTATTAGACGGGGTATTTTCAAAATTATATATCACTATTTTTAATCACTCGCGAGACCATACCCTAGACATGGCTACATAGAGTTGTCCGTGACTGAAAACATGTTTTTTTTCAAAAATAGACCAACATGTGAGAGAGATTGTCCATGACTCTTGTCCTACATTATGATCTCTGATAAAGTCAATGAAACTCGTGGTATCAATATCGTTTGTCCTGTTTTTTTCCCATGAATCATATTTGCTTCAAAGAGACGATTACCAAGTCTTGTAACAATTTGACGTGTTCCATTGCATAGATTTTTAAAATGATCAATGTTACGCACAAGCATTATCGGAGTCCTAACTTTAAGTGTTAGTTTGTGGTTCACAATTCTTGAAGAGCTAATCAAGTTCAAATACTCTGTGGTGTGTAAATCACCAACTAAAGAAGCATTCATATATGACTGGCAAGCACTATCGGCACTCAAGTAGACTTTCTCATCCCTTCATTCATATATGACTGGCATTCATGTATTGATTTATCGATTCAATGACTTCAAGTGTTGGCGCTAGAATTACTCTTTCTTGTAGTATATATCTTCACCAAAATTTGTTGCAAATCCAGGGTAAATAGTTTCCACAATTTTTCCAATAGGATTATTTCTGGACTCAACCAATAGATTTGATGGAATTTCCATGTCTGCACAACCATCATTTGGCTCAACCATCTAAACAAAGAAATATATATTTACGAATATATAGAATATGTTAAGAAAATAAAATCATTAAATTTTATAAGTTTTGAGAATTTTGAAAATATGTTAAAAAGACTAAAGTAGGGGTAAAACATTGAAAATACACTAGAATAGAACGTCCATATTTTTATTTCCGAAAAAGAAATTAAAATGCATTTACATTACCAAACATGGAGAAGTACATTACAAAAAAGTATAATAATTTGTACATGTACAATGCCACATTACAACCACATTATCACAGTGCGAAGTCTTATTTCGATAATAAAAACATGAAACTCCTATTTTGGTACTTGTATCTATATTTTAGTCCTATTTAAGGTGATTTCTATTCAATATAATACTTTCTCTGTCCCTAAGTATTTGTCTACTTTTGACTTTTTCGGTCAAAATTGGTAAACTTTGACTTCAAATTAAACTATCATGATATTAGATATTGATACAAAAAGAGTTTTATTAGAATTATTATATCAAATGTTTTCAAAATATTATTCTATTTAATTAAAATACAATATATATTTTATTTAATTATAAGTCAAAGTTTAAAAACAATTAATCGAAAAAAATCAAAACTCGACAGATAATCAGGAACGGAGATAGTATGAAATATCGTCCAATTCTACTCAATTGTTTTTAAACTGCTAAGCCCATTTATGATGTATTTAGCCCAGTCTAAATGTTCTAACATACGGAGTATTATACTACACCTTACCTTGCTTCTATCGTCATTACGCCGCTTCATTTGTGACCATATGTTCCGTATCCTTCTCTCATGTATTTTTCATCGCCACAAACCTAATCCTTTTACCACCTAAGAATTCGATGGTGTTGAAATGCTATGTACATAAATCCAACTTCTTCGGCCGTTGTTCTTCTATCAATTTGATGGTTGTTCTTATATGAATTGTTTGATACAAGGTATTGTCTTTTTTATTTCAAATTTTTATATATTTATGTCAATATGGAAGGATTTTTCAATTTTTTAAACTTCAGATGTAAATCTGAACATTCCACTTCGTAGAGAGGGGCTTTTCGAAGAAATATTTTCTGTTTTTTTGATATCATTGTTGGTAGTAAATGTGATTATTCAACATCAGATCTTGGGTTCTATTTCCCCCCTATTTCATGATTTTTTTAACACAACAAATTTTTATCTCTGAGAATTTTAGCACCTGAATTTATTTAATTTCTCTATATTCTGCTACTTCAAAATTTATCCATTCTTTTTATATTTGAAAAATATTATTCTGGAATTTAAGAAACCCTTCCTAATGAAATATATCTTTGAGCGTTGATAGAACTGACTTTTTATAAATATACACTGAATATATCTTTATTATAAATATAATCTGTTCCAAACCAAAACATATTCTATTCAAAGCACTGACTTTTTTTATTTTTATTTCAGGTTTAATCCTTTTTTAAGAAATAGCTTTTGATGCAAGTAAGTATAAATATAAATTAGTATGTCTAATTTGAAAAGAATATCAAAACTAAATAAGGCTTGTTATTTGATAGAACTGCCGGATTACTTATTCGATATAACTTCCCTTCTTTGAGCGTTGATCCAAACACTGGTATTTCCTCCCATATTTATGATAGTCTTCAAGGATGTGGTTCCCCTGAATTTTTTTTCAAATAATTAATATCTTTTTGAAAAGTGGATAGCCACAAAAGTCTTGAAGAAAAGTACCTCATTATCGTGAAAAATACCCTCCCGCGCATAAACTTCTCCGGCATTCGTGTAGGATATCATATCGTAGGAACGAATTAATCTTTATTTTAGATTGGCACGAAACGTAGATGGTTTTAAAACCATCAACCTCGTCGCAAGGGCAGGCATTTTTGAAAAGTATAAGGCTGATTGTTACTAAATGAGTGTAGTGAAGGAATTTAGGGGAAGGGTGTGTAGTGTTATAGAGTGGAGTGGTATTTATACACACAATGGAATGTGTTGGGTTCTTAGAACTGACTTTTTTTGTCTACGTACTATGACTTGAATGGTATAATATATGCTGAGTTGCCTTCTTAGAACTGACTTTGTTGGTCTTTACCGGTATTTGTTGTGTAGTACAGGGACCATGTTCATTGTATGTCTTGTAATTATGTGATTTATCATGTTTCTGCAGCCATGGTATATTACATCAATGAAGCTGGAATAGTTTTAATAAATAGAGGCTGTGATTTAATCTGAGCTTCTTTATAGTTGCTTTGAAATGTGATTTTAAATGTTTTTTCTCCTTTTCACCTTGAATTGAGATCTGAAAATTCTGTTGTAAAAATTTTGAAGATTCACTGAACATGGTTTGATGCTGTGCCATGAACACTGGAGAGGGCTTTCAAAGGTGTAGTACTTGGCTGGATTTATTGATGCAATGAATGTTGAGGCAGTGGAGATGGCTTTCATTCGTGTAGTACTTGGCTGGATGTATTATATTGAGATGATTGTAAATGTTTACATAATGAGATGTAATGTATAGCTGCCATGTGTACCAAAGTGTTTATAGCCATTGGATTACAATTTCTGGCGGGAAAATTGGGCATTGCAATTGGAATGGATTTCATTCAGCTTCTATATATATATAGTAGAAGTATATATTTTGGATAAATATGGATTTTTGGAATATTTTTAATATTTGGAATTAATTTTGGAAATTAATTCAACTCCTAAAAGGATAAGTATAAAAATTTCGAAAATAAAATTTATAAAAATTTGGAAATTCGATTTCCATGATCAACTAGGAGACAAAATCATTTTTTTGGAAAACAATAATTAATGGAATTTTTAAATATCCAGAATTAATTTTTAAAAATTAATTTGTTTCCCTACCACATAAATTTTATAAATTCAAACTAATATTTTAAAAACTCTGGAAATTTTATTTTCAGCTTTTTAATGAGACAGTTTTTTTTTTGAAAAATATTGATTTTTTGGAATATTGGGAATATTAGGAATTAATTTTGGAAATTATTTTAAGTCTCTAGGACACTAATTGTATACATCTGAAAAAAAATAATTTATTAATTCTGAATATTTTATTTTCAAATTAAATAAATAAAAAAATACATTATGGAATTTATTTATTAATTTTCAAAAGATATAAGTATGTATTTTGAATTAAAATCCCAATTTTGCAATCAATACCTATGTTTACGATAATATATTATTTTAAACTTCGGGAAATTTGAAAATGGTGTTTTGAATATTCTGTAGTTTTAAAATATTTTTAATTAAATTATTTTATAGTTTAATTATTTGTTTTTGAATTATAGTTTATTTTCTCGTAGAATAAACTGAGTCAGGGGCGTGCGCGGTTCGCCTTGTATTTGCTTAATTGTTTACATGTGATGTATGGCTGTTATGCATGGTATATGGTTGTGGCTTAGTAGTATTATTATTATTATTATTATTATTATTATTATTATTATTATTAAATACGACCTGTGTGTCGTACCTTATCTTTTTATCTCTTAATGTAAACCTCTCTCTTGAACCTCATACCCCTTGCATGTAATGCAAAGATTCTTTTCATCGAAATTATGTAATCGTTACATTCAAGGAAAGAATCACCATGGCCGGAGAGCTTTGATGATGAAATAATCACTAAAGAGAAAGAAGATGATGGGCTGGAGATAGAGATCTCAAGAAATGGCGTTATCGTTAGTTTTTCTTTAGGAGCCATTACCATATCACGTTTACTCATTTAAATAAGCATGCTATATACGAATGTATGTATACGCTAGTGCATGCCCGCATCACCTGTCATAGATGAGACCACGTTTAAATCCCTCGTTATATTAAGTTGGTGCCTTCCGGTGCCTGCTCACTCGTCAAAGCCAATTTAGATCAGTAGCGGACACGCCAAAGCGGGACGCTTGGTTTGCGTTGGTGAGGCGCGAAATCCTTAAGAATAGATACCGACAAACCTCGGGTTGGACTTAACTAAGGGGGGTGCATTGAATCAAGACTTTGTAGGATTTTTTTAGATTTTCAAAGTTAGTAGGTATCCAATTGAGATTTTAAAAAGTCATTCAAAATCTGAAATGAATACACCCCCCTAAGTCTTGGTAAAAGCATGAATGACTTAGAGGCGCACCGTTAGGTTAATAAATAAAATTAAATCATCTAGCCAAAGTTGCAAAGTGTTGCAATTGGAAATAGTTCCTACCCGAAATAATTTAACTATAGGGCAAGATGCAAAGCACAACTATAGTTAGATGAAATAAGGATCTAGTCCCTTAAAAACATTTTATTTAAAATAACCTAGCAAACCAAGGGTTGTAATAGTAATTACAATTGGAAATTGTTCTTACCTAGTTAGTTTAACTATATGGCAAGATGCAAAGCACAACTATAGTTCAATGTAATATGGACCTTGGCCCACTAAGGAATTTTTCTCAAGAAGAAACCTCGAATCAATAAGTTACAGACTGAAGAGTGGTTGGTTTGTTTAAAATAGTGGGAGAGTTTTTAATTAAAGTCCTAATTAACTACTTAATTCTTGATAAATAACTATTTTGCAAATCATCTGTAGATGACCAGTAAGTCAGTAACAATCACAGCCTCACCTTGCGTTGAATCCTAGACAAAGAAAAGTTGACCGGGTCCAACATCTTGGACTGGAAACGCAATCTCACTATTGTTCTTCGTCTTGAGAAGAAAGAGTATGTACTTGAAAAGGTCATTCTTCCTTAACTTGCTGCCAATGCTTCTAGAGCAGTCAAAGAAGCATATGACAAGCACATTGATGATGACATTGAAATGGCATGTCTCATGCTAGCTACTATGACGCCTGAGCTTCAGAAGCATCGTGACAGCATGAAGGCATACGATATGATCCTACACCTGAGGCAGCTCTACCAAGGGCAATCTAGGCATGAGAGATTCCAAATCTCTAAGGCACTCTTGAGTTGCAAGTTGTCTGTTGGAATCCCAATCGGTCTGCATGTTCTCAAGATGATCGGCTATGTCGAGACTCTTGAGAAGTTGGGTTTCTCACTAAGGCAAGAACTTGCAACGGATTTTATTCTGCAATCGTTGCCATAAATGTATAAACAGTTTGTCGTTAATTATGAGATCCATGGGTTTGATAAACCCCTGCCCGAACTCTTAAAAATGTTACAAACTGCTAAAGAGAGCCTTACAAAGGGAAAAGGTAGTTGTGTCCTTTTTTTTAAGGCGAAAAGGGTAAGAAGAAGAAATTTAATAAATTTGAAAACAAAGGAAAAGGTAAAACCAAGCCCGAATCCACTTCTTCAAACCTTAAGCCTAAAGGTGGAGTAGCGAAAAACTCCATATGTCATCATTGTGGCAAGAAAGGCCACTAGAGGAGGAACTGTAAGGATTACCTGGCTTCCAAGAAGAAGAAGGAGGGTGATGCCTTTACTTCAGGTACAACTGTTATTTGAGCATAGAAAATTTACAACCCTTTGTAGGTATATGATACTTACAAATTCAAATCATTGAGGGACTGAGAAAAACTAGATGGTTGGCTCAAGGGGAACTGAACATGACTGATCGATGGGTGCAAGTGTCGCAGTTCTGTTATCATGTTTTAGTTTTAATCATTTGATCTGTATACGAATATTTGATTGATTATTGTTTGTTATATTTTAGCAAGACATTTTATCATGTTTGATGATTTTTAAATAATTTTGAATAAATGACAAATCATTGATCGATTTATAGAAATAATATGTCTTATGCTAAATTTGTCAAATGATTAAATACTTTATTGTGAAAGTATATCTGCATATATAATAGTTGTACCTAAAGATACAAACCAAACGGTTTAAATCTTGTTTCGCATTAGCCTAATCGTATAGGCTAAATGAGCGAATAACGCATTCCCATTTCACGATCGGTCGATGATAATGGGATCATATTATTTTGAATCAAATGACACATGCGATTCTTATTCATTACAAGATATACATATTGATGTATATGGGCATTCACAAAACAGTTAAAGTTAAAAACTTTGTCATGCTTAAACATGACATATGATTCTTAGGAACAACATATCAAGACTTTTCAAATTGTTTGAAAGTACTTTTTAATGAAGTTGAAAGAAATTTTGGAAACATTATTATATATTTTGATATGATCAAAAGGATAGATACTCTTAAGCAAGACTCGTGGAAAGAACATCATATACTATCTGTGAAATTATATATATATATACATACATACATACATATATATATATATATATATATATATATATATATATATATATATATGCACACACACACATAGATTTTGGTTCTGGTGAGAATGCAATCTTAGAAGAGAAATGAGAATAAATCTGATGCTTTAGATTATGAGATCTAAGGGTCAGGATTGCATCAAAATCAGATGCACCAAAATGTTTTAAAAATGCATCACGTCGAAATGCACCAAAATCCTTTGAAAAATGCACTGTCTCAAAATCTGAGCGCAGGATGCAATCTGAGCCGCACGATGCATCAGATCCAACAGCTAGATTTTATTCTCATTTCTCTCCACAAGGTGCATTCTAACAGGCCCCTATATATATATATAGACACACACACACACACACAGATATATATATATATATATACATACATACATATATATATATATATGGTAATATGATTACCGAAATATTAAATATATATATTTAATATTTATTTTGTCTTAATTATATGATAATTAAAGTTGATAAAATAAATTGTTACATTTTATTATTTACACTTGGCCGAAAATAAAAAGTTGGAACGAGGGAGGAGTTTGTGTTGATACACAACTCTACTTCCACAATAGTATGAGATATGATCTCATTTAAAGATGATGGTTCCATTTTCCAACTCTTTATATATTGTGGAAGTAAGAAGGTGAATTCCAACTCTACAATATATATATATATATATATATATAAAGAGTTGGAAGGAGGAAGGTGAATTTCGGCAAAAAGAAGAGAAAGGAAGAGGGAACTATTGTTTTAAAAAAAGAAAAGGTTGGGGAAGCAAGTAATGTTATTATGCTTGATAAGGAAAAGTTTACACCACATACGATTTTATAGATTTAGGAGTTTCCCAATCCTAGTGAAACTAATTATCTATTTTGTCAGCTCCAAAAAAGCATCAAGGTAAAGAACTTGAAAAATACCCTTGAATGAGCTTATAATACTGTTCTCCTAGAAACGACTATGTTACAATAAATAATATATATGAAGGATAACCCTAAACATAATCTTGATAACGCTGAGGTAGCTCAACATTCCAGCATGGTCAGCCTAGTACCGATGCACCCTCCTGGTCAATCTTTAAGCAATTCTGTATCAATATGAGATACTTTCTCCGTTCCTGAGTATTTTTCCAACTTTTTTGATTAAAATAGGTAAACTTCGACCTCAAATTAAATAAAAATGATGATATTATATATTAATACAAAAAATATTATTTTATCTAATTAATATATAATATATAATTTCTTTAATTATAGGTCAAAGATTGAAAGTGGTTGAACGAAATATTATTTTATAGGTCAAAAAATATTATTTTATCTCAATTTTTTTGCTTAATGAGGCCTACTTTATTATGAACACTAAATTTGGACATCTCAACCCTAAGGACTTTTTTAGACGTTCCCAAATTTCCTTTTTGTATAAAAATATTTTTGTGTGTTTTATTTTTTGATGGTAATACAGCGGGAAAAATAATAATAATAATAATAATAATAATAATAATAATAATAATAATCCGAACTTATAAAGCGTTCGTATTTTACAATTAAAATAAAATAAAGAAAATTGAGTCTTCAAGAAGCTCGAACGGGAACGGACAATAGGAAGCTCGAATGGGAGCACGAACAGGTACGCCGGTAGAAGCGTCGGACGGGAACAGCGTGTCGCCGGAGCAGTTTCTGGAAAACGTAGGCAATCTCCTCTCAGGATAAAACCGCAGCGTGCTAAGTCTAGAGCGGTAGAACAGAGCACCGGCGAATGAGAACAACGGGAAGTTATTGCTCGAGAAGATGATCGGAAACTGGGGATTCGTCGGAAGAATTTACGTTACTGCAGAGAGAGAGAGAGTTTTTGCTCGTGTCTTCATCTCTGCAGCCAAGCCCTCCTTTTATAGGAGAGGAAGCTGGCTCTTCGCTGGACCGGACGGAGATACTCAGGCGTCATGGCCAACCCTTCACCTCCATGCATGCATTGTACGGATTAACGAAGTGTCCACGCGTCTTTAATTCGGTCTCCTAAAAAATTAGCCCCGCCCCGCCGTAGACGTGGGCGCGATGCGCCTCGCCACGACCCGACGCGCGCGCGTGTCGTGACGAGCCGGACAGAGGGCGGCGCGCGAGGAGTCCTCTTCTTGTTCCTTTCATAAGCTCAATTAAATGCCTAAGCTTAAATATGAGAATATGAAAGGTTCAAAACCCGGTGTGGGACAAGGGTTTTTACTCTTCCCTCATATTCAACTTTGAGAATTAATTTCTCATTCACCCGAGCACCGTTTATGGTGAGTAATATGTCAAGACGTTCGTCTTACTTACGAGATTATGTAACATCCCAAAATAGGGCCTAAAAAAATTCATTATATGATTAGTAAACTTTAATGATTCAATTTTATAATTTAGAAATAATTTTTTTTAAAACCATTAGTTTAAAATTATTAGAAGAAATTATATTGTTAGAACAAATTTTTAGAAGTACTAATTGATGTAGAATCCAATTTGATTAAAATTTGGGTAAAGTGGTTATTTGGACAACCCCGTATTTATGATATTGTTAAAACAAAAACCCATATAAGTCAATAGAATTCAAGTGGTAGAAGCGGAAACAGGAGGAGGCTGTTTAATACTTCCCCCGTGTTTGATTCTCACCTCAAGCCAAGTATGGAATAATTTTTTTTTCTCCTTAGACAACAAACACAGTTTAAAAAAACAGCAAGTCAGCGACCATGCGTAGAAAATTGCATATTTATTCCCAAACATCATAATCAATATTTTTTTTGGGACTCTTTGAGAATCAATTTCTAAGCTATTTTGGAGTCTTTTTAGTTACTTAAAAACATTAAATTACTCCATATCAACCCAAACATCATCAAATATTCTAAAATATTTTTAATGGATATTGATGACATATTTGAAGAGTTTTACACTTCTCTTGATTCTTTTTTTTGATATGATCCTGATTTTATGATGTTAGAATCCTCCAAAAATAATCTAAATTATCATGATCAAGTTGAGGTAATCTTTATTGGTTGTTTCTACAAGTTTTTACCTATAAATACCACCCAAACTCATTCATTTTTCTCCATTCTCTCTTCTTAAAATTGCAGCAACTTTTCTCTTCTTTATACTCTATATATCCATAAAAATATTAAGTTATTTTACTCCCAATACACTACCAAACCTTTCCCAAAAGACTAGAAGAAGTTAGAGCCAACAAGAGTTCGTTTAGAGCCCGTTTAAGGTAAGAAAACTCTCCCGAAAATCCTGCATTTTTTTTNCATCAAATATTCTAAAATATTTTTAATGGATATTGATGACATATTTGAAGAGTTTTACACTTCTCTTGATTCTTTTTTTTGATATGATCCTGATTTTATGATGTTAGAATCCTCCAAAAATAATCTAAATTATCATGATCAAGTTGAGGTAATCTTTATTGGTTGTTTCTACAAGTTTTTACCTATAAATACCACCCAAACTCATTCATTTTTCTCCATTCTCTCTTCTTAAAATTGCAGCAACTTTTCTCTTCTTTATACTCTATATATCCATAAAAATATTAAGTTATTTTACTCCCAATACACTACCAAACCTTTCCCAAAAGACTAGAAGAAGTTAGAGCCAACAAGAGTTCGTTTAGAGCCCGTTTAAGGTAAGAAAACTCTCCCGAAAATCCTGCATTTTTTGTGTTCTTCAAGTTATTGAGACACTTTTTGCTATTTCTTTTGTTCTTCGGTAAAGCTCCATAACACCTCTAAAGTCTCGGTTCCTTACTAGTCTTCAACAAGTCCGTTTCACTTTCTCTCTCGAACTCGAGGTATGTACAAAATCATATTGCACGGATTTCCCGTTCAACTATTATATTTGTAAAAATCTTTTAAAACAAAACACTCTTTGTATGATTCAAAGTTATTTAAAAAAAATACATAGTAGTATTTTACTTTCAAATTAATATTTTATACACTTTTAAAAGTGATTTATTATAAAATATTGATTTATAAAAATGATTTGATATATAGGAAGTAGTATTCAAACTTTTATATTATCATAAGTTTAAACAACTTGAGATCATCGTAAACTTGTATTTCGGAGGAACGGTAGGAGACCCCTATGACCGCTCATTGTATGCGTATACAGAACCATCGGCCAAGGTTGCGAGAATGATGCCCAAAAGGCATTCTTTCTCAGGGCTACATTCGGAGACCCCGGGTGTATGTCGTTAAATTGAATATTTCATATCTCAGTGGTTTGATAAAATCTTTTATAAAGTTTTTATCTAACTTATATCTATTTAGTTTCATATATGGAAATTCATTCTGTGAAAGTGAGATATTGATCTTTGTAAAAATTATATTTTTACGAGACTCCGTCCTATATTGTTTTGTACCACTCAGCAAATATGCTGAGCGTACAGTATTTTTGGTTTTTACTGTGCGTAGGTGATGTAGCTCGAACAAGTGGAAGTGCAGGACATGGCAATTAAATCCGTTTTGATAAATACGGTTATGTGTTTATTTATTTGCTTGAATAAAAAGTTTGTATTTTATTTTATGACGTTATGTTCACAAACATATTGTGTATTAAACTCGTTTCCGCTGTTTTTAATAAACATTTATATGATGTTTTTATAAGAAATTAGTATATTTCCTCTTAACTCTCTAATTTGGAATAGTCCACGANGAACAAGTGGAAGTGCAGGACATGGCAATTAAATCCGTTTTGATAAATACGGTTATGTGTTTATTTATTTGCTTGAATAAAAAGTTTGTATTTTATTTTATGACGTTATGTTCACAAACATATTGTGTATTAAACTCGTTTCCGCTGTTTTTAATAAACATTTATATGATGTTTTTATAAGAAATTAGTATATTTCCTCTTAACTCTCTAATTTGGAATAGTCCACGACACTGTTCAAGTTAGGGTGTTACAGATTAAATGTTCATAACTATTTCGAATATTAATTTCGTGGGCCCTACCGAATTTATGTTCGAAAAATGTCCAATTTATCTAAAAATTTCCAACAATCCCCCACATGAATGAAAATTAATTCATGTAACTGTTAATAACTTTGAAGTTGAAACCTGCAAGAGTAGGTAGGTTTTATGCCTTTGAACCTACTCCTTGTAAAGTATACCTTCTCTATGTCTTTGAATTGTACTGCCGTTTATGTAAACGACGATATAGACCAGAGAGGAAACAAAAGATGAACCAAAATTATTCGAATAGTTTCACAACTTATTCGAATAAAACACGTTAATTTCACTCACAGGAAAGATCATGACTTATTCGAATAAACTAAAGATTATTCGAATAGAAAGGCAACTTCCCCACACAAAGACTGATCTAAAAATGTGTTTTAAAGGTAGGATGATAAGGGAATGAACCTTAGAGATGCCATACTCTTTAACACATAGTCTAAGACCTAAAACACTACCCAACTAAGGAAACAACCTCTTCGGTCTCGTTCCTTCCACCGATGCTCAAATCCCTTCTTCACAGACGGATATGAACTTGTTGTAGCTTTGATTCTTAGCTTTGATGCACAATATGATGATGATTTTTTGTCACCCTTTTGTCATTATCAAAACCTAAAAGACAATGGGCAAAGGACATTGCAAAAATATATATTCATGATAGCACATTGTCCAACATTACCATTATACATTTTGTTCCGAGCTCGTCCTATTTCCGATTGACAGTCACAATAGACGCAAATAGGAGGAACTGGTTTTTCCCAGTTTGGAATATCCTCAAGTAAATTTCGAAGCCACTCGGCATGTTCTGCACACTTATCTAGTGCTATGAACTCAGACTCCATGGTGGATCTGGCAATTAACGTTTGTTTTGAGGATTTCCAGGATACAGCTGCACTGTCTAACATAAAGATAAATCCGCTTCTAGATTTTGAATCCTTATTATCCGCAATCCAATTGGCATCAGTGTACCCGTCCAGCACGGGTGGATACCTGCCGTAGCATAGGCTATAATCTCGAGTATACCGAAGGTATCTCATCAATCGGACTATGGCCTTTTAGTGCTCAGCACTCGGATTGCTAGTATACCTACTTAGCTTGCTAATGGCGTAAGCTAAATCCGGCCGTGTGCAGCTCGTCAGATACATCAGACTTTCGATAACTCTAGCGTATTCTGTCTGAGAATCGCTACTCCCTCGGTGTTTAACAAGGTGAACATTTACGTCTATCGGCGTCTTAGCTATCTTTGTATCATCCTTGTTGAATTTTCCAAGGATTTTGTCAATGTAGTGGGATTGGCTCAAGCTCAGACCATCTGGTCTTCTTATTATTTTGATTCCAAGAATCACATCAGCCAGACCCAAATCTTTCATATTGAATCGTGCGTGCAACATGTCCTTAGTGGACTTAACCATCCTGTCTTTGCTTCCAACGATGAGTATGTCATCTACATACGGACATAAAATGACATACCCTTCAGATGTGTCCTTAAAGTACACGCACTTATCCGACTCATTTGTTTTAAAACCGTTGTTCATCATTACCTCGTCAAACTTATCATGTCATTGTTTTGGCGCTTGTTTAGGACCATATAATGATTTCACAAGTTTGCAAACCTTCTTTTCTTGGCCCGGAACCTTAAACCCCTCGGGTTGTACCATATAGATTTCTTCATCTAGTTCGCCATTTAGAAAAGCTGTCTTCACATCCATTTGGTAAACATCCAGGTTTCGTAAGGATGTAAATGCGATGATCATTCTAATAGAATCTATCCTAGTCACAGGCGCGTAAGTATCAAAGTAGTCATAGCCCTCGCGTTGGCTATACCCTTTGATCACAAGTCTAGCTTTGTACTTGTCAATGGAGCCGTCAGGCTTCATTTTCCTCCGAAAGACCCATTTAGAACCTAATGGTTTACGCTTTGGAGGGAGATCAACCAATTCCCATGTGTGATTCTGAAGAATAGAATCAACTTCACTTTTTATGGCTTCTTGCCACTAAGGTCCCTCAGTTGAGTTACGGCCTCGTGATAGGTTCGTGGTTCCTTTTCTACCAAACAGGTTAGAATATCGGGTTCATTTTCCATTAAGAATGACAAAGTTCCTTTGTCAATTCTATCAGATATGTTATGAAGTCAGAACCAAACGTCTTTTCAGTGCGTATTCTTTTACTTCATCTCAATTCAATTTCATGTTCGACTTCATCATCGTCACCGGAATTCAACTGATTTGGATCATCATTATCCATCATCTCAGTGTGAGAACGTTTGGACGAACTAGCTTTGTCACTTGACTGGCACGGAAAAATGTGCTCGAAAAATGTTGCATTCCGTGACTCTATGATTGTGTTCTTGTGAATTTCAGGATTATCTGATTTGTACACCAAGAACCAGTATGACGTACTATTGTACCTGATGAAGATTCCATCAACTGTTTTTGGACCGATCTTCATTTTCTTCGCTGGTGGTGCAAGTACTTTCGCAAGACACCCCCACACTTTGAGATACTTATAGGAAGGTTTCCTATTATGCCAAAGTTCATACGGAATTTTGTCAAGTTTCTTACGATGTATTTTATTTAGTAAATAATCACTTGATAAAACAGCCTCCCCCCACATGTTCTGGGGTAATCCAGAACTAAGTAGCATCGCATACATCATGTCTTTCAGAGTGTGATTTTTCCGCTCCGCTACTCCGTTAGACTGCGGTGTGTACGGTGCGGTTACTTGATGCACTATTCCATGTTCACAAAACTCATTAAGTGGAGCATCATACTCATGACCTCTATCGTTTCTCAACGCTTTTATCTTGCGATTGAGTTGATTTTCCACTTCATTCTTATATCGAATAAAAGTGTCTAACGCTTCATCTTTGCTTTTCAGTAAATAGATGTAGAAATATTTCGTGCTATCATCGACGAAGGTAACAAAGTACTTATTACCCCCTCTTGAAGGCGTTGTTCGAAAATCACACAAGTCGGAGTGAACCAACTCTAGAGGTTGAGTGTTTTGTTCGATCGTTTGAAACGAACTTCGAGTTGACTTTGCCTCAACATAAGTTTCGCACTTGTGAGTTAAGTCAATACTAAACTTAGGTATGTGTTAATTTCCGGAGAGATGCATAATTAACATGTCCTAGTCTACCATGCCATAAACTAGAAGACTCGCACACATAAGCAATAAGATTTTTATTGATCTTTTCATGAACAGTCATTACATTTAGCTTTACAAGCCCATCGGAAAGATAACCTTTCCCTATAAAAATCCCTTTCTTGGATAAGATTAGCTTATATGATTCAAACACCATCCGAAAGCCATGTTTGATCAACAATGACCCCGGAGGTCATTTTAAGCTTAATCTTACCAACCCCTTGAACCTCTGATTGGGCCGAGTTGCCCATCCAGACCTTGTCACCAGAGGTCTCTTAGAAGTCGTGAAACATGCTCATGTTTGAGCAAATATGGCGTGTGACTCCTGTGTCCACAAACCATTCCCTCAGGTTTGACACGACAAGGTTCACCTCGGTGACAACCGCGCAGAGGTCCAAGTTGTCATGCTCTGCGCACATGGCTTCGGTGGTTTTCTTCTTATTCTTTTGTGGCTTCTTTTTCCTTTAGTCATAGGAACGATGCCCGGTAATGCCACAATTGTAGCATTTCCCTGCAAATTTAAAAACGCCACCCTTAGGACCTATTTTCTTCTTGTCCTTCTTGCCATGTGAAGAGCCCGACAGATGTTCTACGACATTTGCTTTTGCCCATCCACCTCTTCTGGCAAGCCCTTCTTCTCGGATCCTCAACCGTGTGAGCAGTTGCTCAAGGTTCAGCTCGAATCTTTTGAGCTTGAGATCGGCTTGGAAGTCTTCCCAAGATCGTGGAAGTTTGTGAATGATGGCTGCCACTTGAAATTCTTCACTGACGCCTACTTTCTCTTCATTACATTTATTGAAGATTACTGTAAGCTCTTCAGCCTGGGTGACAATAGATTTGCTGCCGACCATCTTGTAGTCCAGCATCTTCCCGACAATGAACTTCTTCGTGCCCGCATCTTCAGCTTGATACTTCTTGTTCAAGCTGCTCCAAAGCTCCTTGGCATGCTTTGCACCGGCGTAGACGGGGTACAACGTCTCGGCCAACCCCTCGAGGATGATGTTGATGGTGAGATATTTATTATGGTACCATGCTTGGTTCACCATCGCCACGAGGGGGTCGTTTCCATTGTTCGGTTGGGGAGGATCTTGCTGCAGGTACTCAGCAAACCCCAGGACGGTCAAAAAGAACACCGTCTTTTGTTGCCACATCTTGAAGTTCGTACCATTGAACTTCAGTGGCCTCTGGACCGAACAAGCGGGCATCGAAATCGAACCAACTGCATTGGGTGTATGAAGGAAAGGCTCGTTGGTCGCCCAATGAGGTCCAACGAATGGATTGACCGGTGCGGTGAAACTCGCGTTTGGTCCAAAGTTGGCCGTCGAGGCTGAAGCCATAGTCAGTCCGAGAAACGGGTTCGAATTACCAACGGGGTAACTCCCCGTGGTTTCGAGCCCCGGAATGGGTTGAGGGGCCGACCCGAAGATCGAGCTTGGCATCGAAAAAGAGGTCATGGTGGCAGCCCCCACACTTGACCCGAAGGGCAGCGGTGAGGACGGCACAACCAAGGCAACCGAAGAGGTTTCGACCGGAACTTCGGAACTCATTCCGTTGCCGGAGGAACCCGCGATGCCGAATCCAAACTCATTATACTACCTTAAGATTGATGGTAATACATCGGGAAAAAAATAATAATAATCCGAACTTATAAACCGTTCGGATTTTACAATTAAAATAAAATAAAGAAAATTGAGTCTTCAAGAAGCTCAAAAGGGAACGGACAGTGGGAAGCTCGAACAGGAACACGAACAGGTACGCCGGTAGGAGCGTCGGACGGGATGTAGCGGGTCACCGGAGCAGTTTCTAGAAATATAAGTAAGGAAAGCGGAGTCACCGGAGCTTTCCTTAAGGTAGTATTGCCCGCCTCCCGCACTGGCAAACGTAGGCAATCTCCTCTCAGGATAAAACCGCAGCGTGCTAAGTCTAGAGCGGTAGAACAGAGCACCAACGAATGAGAACGACGGGAAGTTATTGCTCGAGAAGATGATCGGAAACTGGGGATTCGTCGGAAGAATTTACGTTACTGCAGAGAGAGTTTTTGCTCGTGTCTTCATCTCTGCAGCCAAGCCCTCCTTTTATAGGAGAGGAAGCTGGCTCTTCGCTGGACCGGACGGAGATACCGAGGCATCATGGCCAACACTTTGCCTCCATGCATGCATTGTACGGAACTTCGTTAATCATGAAGTGTCCACGCGTGTTAAATTTGGTCTCGTAAAAAATTAGCCCCGTCGCAGACGCAGGCGCGCCTCGACGCGCACGCGCGCCGAGCTAGACAAGCGGCGGCGGCACGCGAGGAGTCCTCTTCTTGTTCCTTTGATAAGCTCAATTAAATGTCTAAGCTTAAATATGAGAATATGAAAGGTTCAAAAACCGGTGTGGGACTAGGGTTTCTACTCTTCCCTCATATTCAACTTTAAAAATTAATTTCTCTTTCACCCGAGCACCGTTTATGCCGAGTAATCTTACTTACGAGATTAAACGTGTATAATTATTTCGAAAAATAATTTTGTGGACCCTACCGAATTTATGTCCGAGAAATGTCCAATTTATCTAAAAATTTTCAATTCCAACATTTTTTTCATTTCTTTTTTCCATACTCCTATTTTTTTATTCCTAATTTTATTTTTTGGACTTCCAAAAAAAGATTTCTTTTTTAATTCTAGGAAAAAAAATTAAAATTGTTAAATTTGGGATAGATGCAAGGAGATATGTTAATTTTTTTCATTTGTTTATTTTTATTTTAAACACAAAAAATATTGAATTTTTACAAAGATTTTTTGAAAGTTTAGAAAAGATATTACAAAAAATTCTAAGAAATGGGAACAAAGAGAAGAAAAAAGAGTAAAAAAAGGAAAAAACCAAAAAATAAACGAAAAATGAGAAAAAAACTTTGTTGTCCCCCTGTGTGTTAGAATATAAATAACTGTTCCTGGGCCACAACCACAAGCTCAAACTTGTGGTTGAGTTAGTTCTTTGACATGGTATCAGAGCCTCGTTGACTAAGAGATCACGGGTTCGAAACTCAGCGCCACCCAGTTTAAAAAACATTAAGGTTTCACGTGCAGGGCTCGAAAAAGACTACGCCTGCACGTGAGGGAGCGTGTTAGAATATAAATAACTGTTCCTGGGCCACAACCACAAGCTCAAGCTTGTGGTTGAGTTGGTTCTTTGACACTGTGGTTTGGAAGATCAAAACCAATGTCACTTCTTCACCAAAAAATGGCCGAAGTATGATCTGAGGAGGTGCGGGTATAACGTTTTGAAATCACGAAACCTTAAGAAATAAATTTTGAAAAAAAAAGGATGCATTGGTACCAATGTTTCAAATCAGAAGGGCACTCGAGGTATTTGGCATGTAAATATGTGTGGGAATGTAGATTTATATATGTGAAAATTGAGATTAGAGAGTGAATAATGTTAGGGTGTCACCACATGGCTGCTACTATGGGTGCACCCATGCTTCATATAGACAAACACAGACGATAATTGTCTGTGTCGCACAGACAATAATCGTCTGTGTTTGTTTATGTGAAACATGAGTGCACCCATTATAGCACCCATGTAGTGGCACCCTAGCATGATCTTTAGAGACTTGGGATACCTCTTGTATGA